TCTTTGGTTCTGGCTTCTTGATACGCGGTTAAAGAAACCCAGTTCTCCCTTCAAATTTCTGGGACCGCTGGTCTAGGCACCACAGTGCACTAGAATGGCTGTAACATGCCAGCTTTGAATTGAATTGTACAAACCATACAAAATAAACTCTCCTCCCCAGGGTATGCATGCTTGTTTGTTCATGTATCTGCTTAGAAACGGAACAAAATAGCACAACCTTTCCATTTTAGCAGCAGGGACTTTTTTGTTGTTATTAAAAGGGGGAGGGGAAGTAGCCAAAGGAAGTTCACAGCCGCTTTTTTCATCTATCTGTGTAAACTATTAGTTCATCTCTTCGATAAAATTCCAGACTTCTGTTTACTGATGATCTGATATAATTGACTGACTCAGATTTTAAGTCTCTGATGGGAAGACGTAAAGGGAAGCAGGGCTTTGCTGTGTAATGTCCTGCTAATCCATCCTTGCCCTGCCTTTAGAGATTGCTCCATGGGTGGCCATGAACGCATCTCACAAATCAGAAAAGCTAACAAAAAGGCCCTTAAGGACAAAAGATAAAAGACTTCTGCTTTTGCTGTGAGGTAGAGAAAGATATAAATGGCAGTGGTTTTAAAAAAAAATCAATTTGGACACCATCAGGTGCCTTGTGGACACCAAAATATAAATAAGGTGTATATGAATGCACCCCTTTTAGCCCCATTTTTTCTCTGCATGCAAGCGCGCACACACACACACACACACACACACCTGTCAATTCAAGAAAGCCAGGTGTCAGCAGCAAGAAAATCACACTGGAAGTTGAACTTAACACTTTATTAGCAAAAGCACGATCTGCACAGGAGTGTCAGGCCTAATGAGCACAGCGACTCATCTTGCCTCAATGAAGCTGTTCCTGAGACTGTGGACTCCCTGCCTTCCCACAGCTGCCTAAGTCCCCTACACTCCACAATTTTTTTTCCAAGCAATCAGAGACTACATCTGCACCCCTTTCATGCCTCTTCTAGTTCTGGGAAACCGGTGGGGAGCAGTGTTCAAAACTCCCATTTTTCTAGGCACATTTTGCAACAGGGAATTTCATTGGCGCGAACAGTTTCTGCTGATTAAAACTGCAGAGTGGAAGGAAAGGAGGGCCCTTTTCTGCCTCCCCACTTCTAGCTACTCTCTGAAGACTGGGGAAGAGACCCTCTTAAGAATATTAGGGGGGTGGGCAGGGGAAGGACTAGACCATGTGAAAAATGAACATAATATTTTAGCTGCTGTTTACTCATTTTCAGCTTTGTATTCTTGTCACCCAAAAAGCGCACCTAGACATTCCATTGTTGTGCCCATAACCTAGGATTAAGGTGCCATTTAGCTCTTAGTTTTCATATCTCAGTTTCTAACATGGAGGGGGCGGGGAGCTTGTCTCAGCAGGAGGGGGAGACACCCATGACTCTTCCCCAGCCTAAGTCCTCTCTGCCTCTTGGCCTTCCTCCTCCTACCCTCCTACTTCAGCTTCTGCTTTTGATTTAGGACTTCCCTCTGCCATGGACTCTACCAGCTCACTAACCCCTGCTACCTCCTCAGTTTCCGACACCTCTTCCCAGTCTTCTCCCTCTGACAACTTATTGTTGCCCCACCACCACTCCCTGGGCTCTGGGCCTTCTTCACTTGGTGGTTCCCCAGCTAATCCCTCCCACCATTCATCTGTGTCCAACCAGCCCTTGACACCAGGTATCTGAAGTATAGGTCCACACAAGCACCATTGAGTCTTTTGCAGCAGAAGTAGAAACCCTTTTTTCAACTCAAGGACCGCATTCCCTTCTTTGCTATCTTCTGGGGGAGCACATGACAGCGGGTAGGCCAAAGGCAAAAGTACAAAGCAAGGAATGTGAGTTTTACCTTTATACAGTAAGCTAGTTTCTGTACTCACACCCTTTTCTATCCTCTGTCCAGCCAAGCAAGAAGCAAGTGTTTAAGAACCCATTCCTGCCAGACAAATGGCACTCAAGGCGAATATGTGGCCCAGGGAGTGAGGGTGGTATGGGGAGTGTCCTACAGGCCAGATACTGCATTTCGCCCCCAGACCTGGGGTCCACCACCCGTTTTATAAAGCAATATAAGCCCCCTCAAAATTTTGTGGAGTTTCCTGAGTGTTTTAACATATAAATCTTTGTCTTTGTATCCCCTCCATCCCCAAAAATACATTCCGCACAGTATGTTAAAGTAATTTTTAATTATCCGAGTCCTGAGGCCTTCTGAAGTGACGTAGGATGGTAACCACAGATGGGGCCTTTTTCAGGTGGGGAAATCTCCTCCCAAGGCGCTTTGTCTGGTGCCACCACTGGTTTCTTTTCCACACACAATGAAAACATTTTTATTAGTCCAGACCTTTTAGCTGTGCATGTGTGTGATTATACATGTTTTGTGATTGTTTTTATTGAGTGTTGTTCTATAGTTTTCATTTTGTAGGCAACACTTAGTGTTTCTTAGGCACTAAACAGTTTAGGCAAGTAAATAGCAAACTCTTAAAACAACAACAACAGGTATTTGAGTGGAGTTGGGGCAGAGTTCAGACGAGTTCATAGAGTGAAGTCAAGAGAGTAGCTCTTTTGGGGGTCCAGGGAACTAGCCCAGAACTGCCAAGTTTGATAACTTGTGAGTTATCATAAGTTGTGAGTGTCGTTTTTAATTTTCAGCTTTCTGGTTGTTTATTTAGCAAATATGGCTGTGTTTACACCATAATTTAAAAAACATGATTTCTCCCGAATAATATTGGGAACTGTAGGTCCCCCACCCCCACCCAGAGCTACAATTTCCAGAATCCTTAACAAACCATAGTTGCCAGGTTTCTATGTTTAAAAAATTCATAGTGTGCAGTGCAGCCTGGCTCTGAAGAAGAAAAACAGCCCTCTGCCTGCCCCTGCCTTGTTTGGCAACCCTGGGTTCATGAAAACACACCTTGTCTTGTCTGTTCTGAAGCTAATATTGCCAATTAAATTCACACTGAATGTCCTTTAGTTTCAGTATTTTGAGACAGAATAGTCTCTAAGTTCATAAAAACTATTTATGCAATGTGTCTTCTCTTTAGTCAACTTCCTCCACCCACTGCTTAAAATCCTGTTGCCTATGTGTTATATATCCCTTTTCCGTCAAGGCCAAGTGAGAGAACGGAGGGAGCCTTCTGCCTCACACTCATAACAGCATGATTTTACAGTATGACATAGTGTGAAGGTTGTAAAATGAACACAGTAGTCTTTCAGAACAGATTTTCCAGGCCAGAATAGGCCCTGCAGAGCTGTAAACAATGGTGTATTATAAAATCTGCTCATAGGGCACTAGTGTGTTTGTGTGGTGTTGTCTTTTCTCTCTGTCTGTCTTTCTTTCTGTCTCTGTCTGTGTCTCTCTCTTTCTCTCTCGCCAAGTCTAGGAAGAAGCTTCATTTCAGTTTGGCAAAAATGTTAATTGCGCATATTTTTCTTATGTGAGGGCTTGTCTTTTTTCTTTTTTTTTCTTTTTTCTTTTTTTTAATGGATTCCATTTGCCATGTTATTTCTATTTTGAAAGGTTACAATTGTCAATGTAATATGCAATTACTAAGGCCTACGAATTAATGTAAAGGGCTGCATGCTGTATTTTAACAAGGATTGTAGCTTGCCTCTAAATTTGAAACATGTGTTTCATGTTATGGCAAAATCATTGGGGCACACAGTCTGCTTAGTTTTATTGGCATAGAAAACTTTAAGTAAAATATACAGTTGTCAGTGATCCTTTACCAGAATTCATCTCGGCAATTAAATAAGTAGTTTTGTTGGACTACTCTGGAACAAGCAGCATATATATATTTCTCTGCCTGAACTTAAAATTGATATGAAATGGGCTTGTGCATGAGGGATGTTGAATTGTTGTGAAGCTGCAACGTAAGAAACATAGAAATCATTAATGTTTATAAGGGATTGAGTGTATATTCTACACCCTTTCCCTGAAAACAAGCTGTAGGTAACAGTTTGTGTTCACCATTGAAGCAGAACTTTTAGCCCATTATATCAAATATGTGCCTGCCTATTTCACAATAGTCTTTTCTTTACTTCTGTATTTGAAAAACAAATATGTAATAAGGGGTGGGTGGGAAGTATGTTTTAAATACTAATGAAGACAAGAAGGAAGAAAATATTCTCAAAGTATCAGTGAAATATGAATACATGAAAAGTGGCATAAAGACTTTGAGGAGGAAATGTCAGATGAAGTCTGGACTTTCTTATTGGAAAGTGCCCAACATAATTATTATTATTTTTTAAGAAACAGCTAACTATGAGATGGCAGTGCAATGACATTGAATCACTTAGGAAGAAATTAAGATTGGCTCAAGAAAAGATGACAGATTGGCAGCAAAAATGTGCACTCGGGTTCAAGCAGCTTCCACAGGAAGGACACAGACATGTCATCCATTTTAATCTGTCATGGCTGCTCTACTGTTTGCATAGAACAGACCATAAGTGCTGGATGTGATGCATGTGTAGGCCTAGCAGGGTCTAGATTAACAGCTGTTTGTTCTCTGAAGACGTTAAAGGGGATTAAGAAACATATTTGGTGTGGAGATAATGAGCTTCCGGTATACGGTGATCAATAATAGGAAGATAGAGAGACAGGCTTTAATAGACTTTGTTGCATTGTTAAATATAGCATTCCAGTTATATACCAAGAGCAGTCGTACCTCAGAAGTCAGACCGAATCCGTTCCAGAAGTCCATTTGACTTCCAAAACGTCCGGGAACCAGGGCGCGGCTTCCAGTTGGCTGCAGGAAGCTCCTGCAGCCAATCAGAAGCCACAACGGATGTCCGGGTTCCAAAGAACGTTCGCAAACCGGAACAATCACTTCCAGGTTTGGGGTGTTCAGGAGCCAAAACGTTCGTCTTCCAAGGCATTCAACTTACGAGGTATGACTGTACTGGTATTATGTATTCTTACAATGGCTAGGATACTGTATATAGGATACCTGGAAAGAAATTTCCAGGGGAAGGGTTGGAGCTCAGTGGTATAGCATCTGCTTTGCATTCAGACGGTCCTGTGTTCAAATCCAGACATCTCCAGGTAAGACTAGAAGAGAACAGAGTCTGAATCCCTGAAGAGCAGCTGCCAGTCAGTGTAGACAATACTGAGCTAAATGGACCGAAGGCCCATTAGGTATAGGGTGATTTCCCATGTAAAAACACAGTTTGAGTACAATAGAGCTGATAAGGAAATTATGGGAACAATGTAGTCTTCATTTCTAAGACACTTCTTTTTAAACTAGGCAAAAGGACTAAAGTGATGGTTTAAATGTTAAAAGGTTTCTAGATGAAGCCAGAGTGAAATATATTGTTCAGTTACTCAGCACCATTGATGAAACTTTGTGGTACCCTAGAAGTAAATGTCATAGAGGTCACTTGCCTGAAGTGTAGCTCAGTTATCAGTGAGTGATGGCATCGTGAAACAATGAGAATCATGTGATGTGTGCATGTTGCTGTGTCATACTCCCCCAATAGTCAGAAGTGTACATGGCTATCCCCTTCCTTGTGTAATATTGGACATCACTTCATGGGTTCAATTTCATTTCACTGAAATGTTGCAAGTTCCTCTTTCTATTTTAGTAATACTGAACTCCTGCTATTACTAATCTTCCTAAAGTGCTTACCAGAGTAAATCCATTCCCTATCAATGAGGTCGAAGGAATACTATCTTATTTTTGCTTTCATTTACTTTCCAAACCACCAGTTTGTTTACTGTTTATAGGCTTGGCTTTGCCAAGGGTATTTGTGGTTGTGCCTGCGTGTTCATTTTTTAATTATTCAGGTATCATATACTGTATATCTTTAGGCTGCAATCCAATATGCACTTACCTGGGAGGAAGCCTCTTTGAACATACTGGGGCTTGCTTCTCAATAGGTATTACAGAAATGTACTGCAAAAATGCTAAATTAATACACTGTCAAGGATCTAACTAGGCTTAAAATATTTATAGCCTGCCTTTTGCTTTTAAAAGATGCTCAAGTCTTATTGATGCTGCAGCCTTAACTGCTGCAACCAACTTCCATGTATGCAGTGCTTCCTTTTCCTTTTCCTTTTCCTTTTCCTTTTCCTTTTCCTTTTTCTTTTCCTTTTCCTTTTCCTTTTCCTGTCCCACCCAGCTGCTGCTTCCCCCTGCCCCCAACACACATGCCCTCAAAATTGGTACAGGTACCCTCCAGCACATCTTGTAAGGGGAGGAGAGGAAATGGAAGTCTCCCTTACCACTGGTTCAGCATTGGATTACAACCCAAGATCAGCATTTCAACAAAATTTGAATAGTTGGAGATTAAGAAACAGGATCACAGCTGATGAAACAAACACAAAGTCTTACAGTTTGGCATGTTAAAACCCAGGCAAAAGAATAAAATTCTTAAGGTTAGGGGAGGACCGTTGGTGATGTAGCCTAGGGATGGCAACAAAGAAGGCTCTCACCTGTGCTCCCAACCAGCCCTATCTCAGCTACCTGTTGGAGAGCCCAGCAGTTCTTGGTGAGTAGACAGATGATCTTGCAGGTATGCCATAAACCCACCGGCAGAGGAAGGGGGTGCAGTGGGTGCACTCTGCCCCAAGTGTCATACCCGGGGGGGTGACATCACTCCCCCTCCCCCTGGGACTCTCACCCTGCCCCCGCAGGCAACTAGCCCCACCCCCAGGTGCACCGCATTTGCACTGCTCCAGATGCTAGCTCTGCCTCTGCATAAACCTAGGCCATTTAGAGCTTTAAAGGGTAATAAACAGCTACCTGAAACTGGAATCCAGTGTAATAGTTTTGATAGCACATAAAGTGGTTACAGTGTCTCTGACTCATTGGATAAATGCTACTAAACATCTGTGCAGTTAGAGAGAGATAAGCTCAACTGAAATAATAACCTCAAAATAATATACCGTATTTTTCGCCCTATAGGACGCACTTTTTCCCCTCCAAAAATGAAGGGGAAATGTGTGTGCGTCCTATGGGGCGAATGCAGGCTTTCGCTGAAGCCTGGAAAGCGAGAGGCATCGGTGTGCACCGACACCTCTCGCTCTCCAGGCTCCAGGAAGCTATCCGCAAGCCTTGTGCGCCCGGGGGATCCTCCGGAGGACGCCCCGTGCTTCGCGCAGGTGTCGGCAAGCCTTGCGCACCCGGGGGATCTCCCCCCGGGCACGCATGGCTTGCGGGCGGCAGCCAGCAGCGCGGAGCACGGGGCGCCCTCCGGAGGACGCCCCGTGCTTCACGCAGGTGTCCTCAAGCCTTGCGCGCCCGAGGGAAGTTCCCCCGGGCGCGCACGGCTTGTGGGCAGCAGCCAGCAGCGCGGAGCACGGGGCGCCCTCCGGAGGACGCCCCGTGCTTCGAACAGGTGTCCGCAGCCTGCCGCCCGACACGCGGGGCGCCCTGAAGCAGAGCGCCTCTCGCGCCGGGCAGACATCGGCCAGCCCCACAAGCTCGGGGGACAGTGGGGAGGTGCAGCGCCGCCATCCCACTGTTCCCCGACCTGGTTTGGGGGGGAAATAAAGGTGAAAATTTTTTCCTTTATTTCCCCCCCCCCCCAAAAAAAAGTAGGTGCGTCCTATCAGACGAAAAATACGGTACCTCTGTGAGACTCTACCAGAATATATTTTAAATATATTTTTTGCTAGAAGATAATAAAGTTGGGGTGGGGTGTCAAAAATACCAATAAGGGACATTAAATTCAATAGAGGGAAGTGACTCAGAATGGCTGGGGTCATTCTAAAGAGTAGAACTCCACTGACCTTTAATTTCTGCTGATGTTTCCATGGAAGTTCTTTAGGAGCCTGTGAACGTACCACTAGGCCAGTAAAGGGGCTGCAATCATGTAAAAGTGCTGTGTATGTGAGATGTCACCATCCCATATGGAGTTATGTATGAGTAAAGTACAATATTCAAAAAGGGTCCGTGTATAACATGTCCAACCAACCATAAGATCCACAAATCAATAAGCATACTTGTAATATACTTCAATGGACATAAAAACAGAGCAATGAACCATAATAAACTGAGGAACAGCCTGTTATAGATCCATTTCAGCTATTAAGTTTTTTTCAAATATATCCTAGTTAGTTAGTCCTAGATTCTTGGGGAAAGGTTCTCAAAATGGTCTTCTTTGGGAATGTGCAGCCAAATCATTCTCTTGTTCATCAGTAACTGGTAAGAACTCTCTTAGCTGATCAAATTTCTTTTTGTTATGAGGCTATTATCTACAAACAATGTTAGCACATAGTGTATTCTCCATCCTTCACAATTGACATAAGAACTAAAAATCTTACCAGAAATGCAGACCGGGCTTTAAAGACAAAAATTGGCCATTCTGCGATTCTTCCCAGGAACAGACTAGAATCTTCCAAAGATCTTAATTTATTGCTGTGATTATCCTCCATTGTTTAACTAATCATTTGCAACTGAAAACAGATGTTATAAATAGGCAGCTCTTTAATGTTTTTAAACATAATTTTGTTATTATTCTTTACCTGCTCTTCATCCAATGCAGATTACGTATAATTAGAAACTTGCAGCACCAGTGCTTTTTTTCTTTAAAAAAAGGGTGCTGGTACTCACCATGAAGTTGTTATAGTAAGTGCCCGCTTTGGACATTTGGGGTGTCGGTACTGCATACCCCTGAGTACCCCCAGAAGAAGGAGAAACAAGCACTGCAGCACAATCATAGACCAAAACAGCAGTGCTCAAGAACGGGGTGAGTGGAATTAGATAAAGCACCACCTGCTCCCCCATCCCACTAGAAAGGGACAAAGAGGTATGTCTTCATTGTCTTCCTAAATGTCTGCACTGCAAACAATGTGGTTCAAATTGAATTTAAAAAAAACAAACCCAGAAGGCTGATGTAATTTATAGGTGAAAAACATTATGAAATGCAGCTAAATTGTTGCAAATTACAATTGAAGGATATAATTTATTATTTATAGTGAGCATGAGGATACATGAGAAGAGGATGTGTTGTTAACAGGTCTGAACTCTAATGATTTGGCAGGCTTTCAATATAAGTAAATTAGTCTAAGCTTTCTTTTTACTGATCCAAAACATGTTTATAGCCCTTCTAGGTGTTTTGATACTTCCTGCTGCCTGTTCTCTAAGATCTTTTATCAGCTGTGTAAATTGTGCAAGAGGAGATAAATGTTTCACATGACTCCCCCTCCCCAATTTGCTTCCATGATACAGCTGCAACCCCTGGACGTGAAACCCCTCTAGGGGAATGTCTGGAATGCAGGGTGTACTGCTCCTGTTTTCAATCATCTCTACCTGGCGTTACAAATTGCATCTAGGAACTGTATCTCCGTCCTGCAGTTTGTTGGCTTTCTGTTGTAATAGAGATGGTTGCTGCCTTTCTGGTGTTAAAGCTGTGGTTCAATAGGGCTGTGTGAACTAGAAGAAGGGCAGGAAAACACTACGGCTCTATGAAAAGTGTTAAGGAACAGAAAGGGGTCAATAAGCATCATTTACATTTCTCTGGGAAAAGAAATCCCAATTAGATGCTCTTTGATTTGACCAGCAAGAATGCTTCTTGCATACAGAATCTATAAGAAAGCTAATGATGCGAGAAAATACTAAAATGAAGTTCATAGTGCTGTCAGTTCTCTTATTATATTAGCACCTCTCTCTAGCCTAGCACATCAGCAGATCAAATCGTGATATGCCCGTCTCGTCCTACCATGTTCCCCAACCTGCTTGGTCATTACTCCTGTCACCTCTTCCTCCACCCGAGTTGTGGGAAGGGAGAATGTGCCACACATGAATGGCTGAGATGGTAAGGTGTTGTGTTACATCCACTGCAAGGTGAGTTGGGACATTTTGGTTTCCTGCTACAGAAGGCAAAGGAGCCGATGTAGTACAGCGCAGGCAAGCAAAAGTGGAAAAACAATAGCAATGTATCGGCATTCAATTTGCTGGCGGGCATATTACATATGACCAAGCCAGCCTTTTCTAACCTGGTGTGCTGGATGGGGCTGATGAGAGTTGATGTCCAAAATATCTGGAGCACACTAGGCAGGCAAAGGCTAATTTAAGCTGTCCTCCCATACTATGTCTTTA